GGCGATTACGTGGTAGTTGATGCGCCCTGCAGCTTCGAGAAGGGCGTAAAGATCGGCGTTGGTGGAGACTCATCTGGCGTTGTACATGAGACAATCTTCATGGCGAGTCGTCGACGTGTTCTTTTGGTCCGATATCCATGGCGTCTTTTGCAACCTGACACTGGTCTTGATGACATCCGATGCCGATGTAATAAAGCATGAGGGCTTTTTTTCCTATCGCATACTGTAAGCAATAACAAAACCTCTAAACTTAGCAGCCTTGCTAGGCTTGTCAAGCTTTCACCACAAGCAATCGCTGACCTATATAGATCAGGCAACCAATGGCGATTCAATCAGCCAGAGTTGGGTCTTCTGGCATGGCCCATTCTTAGTGGGTATCTCTCAGCTTAGGAGACCCTGCTGGAGGATAAACCTCCATTGTACCTCGCAGTTCGATACCCAAAGTCACTCCCGCACCACGGTGAGGCCGCAGACCATTGCGGGGCTCGAAGGCACGCTACGCCACATGTATTTACATTTCAACCACTTAAAAATTTGGCCGTCTGAGGAAAAGTAAATATTCAAAGCTGTGCTTCCTCCTTTAGCTACTAAGCTCTTAGAATATATTTTGTAATCAAATAGGTTATTTTCTAACTAGTAAGTACTCATCAACGATTCCGAAGACACAACTGAGCTTTGCGCTTATTTGGACTTAATCTGACAAATTAACAAAAGTCCGATTATTGAAAGATAGCCAAAAAAATGCAGTCAGGCCGTAAAAGGCAAACAAAAAATATGAAGATCAAGGATGTTTGCTTTTTTTTGCAAATGCTCAAAAATTTTGCTGCAAAGTCCTCATTATTGTTCCAAGTTTTGGGACTAGACTAGGATTAGTAACCCGTAGTGCTTCACGACGTTTCCAGCATCGTTAGTGTAAGGCTCGTAACTGGTACTACTGGTTGCCCCGTCTCTTCGCGTGCTATTACTATTGCGTGAGAAGACGCGGCGCGTGCGCGAATACGGTAACAAAACTACTTTTCTCAATGGGCTGATATGAAGAACTTTTCTATGTATGTGCTATCTGTTTTTTCTGCAGAATGGAATTCTTTCGGCGCTCCCATTCGTATGTCAGTTCATCTCAAAGATCATCTACGCAGGATTTGCTGACGAATCTAAAAAGCGCGGTTGGATGGGCTTCACCAACGTCACAAAGGCGTGCAACTCTAGTGGTTTGTATAAGCAGTTCACCAACTTCTAATTACTATCCCTTTGCTATTTCTAGCATCTTTTGGACTTGCTCTCTGTTTTGCTCTATTGTGTTTTTGCGACTGCACCTATCGGATAACAGCCGTGATCTTGATCTGCCTAGCAATGGCTTTTGTTTCGGGTTATATACCCGGTTATAATACGAGGTAAATACTTGTTGCGCTTCCTTTTTTTTCTTCGAAAATGTTATATGCGATTCAGTGTCGTTTCAATAGCTCCTTCGCAAACAGCGGCCATAGCATCATTCAGTAGAATTTGGGCTCAGGTACGGTAATTTTCTATATTAATAGGTTATGAGAATGTTTTTCACCTTCAGATTGCCTCCTCGTTGGCGCCATATGAGATTGGAGCTCTGACCAAACAAGTTGGTGTCTCGTGATCATTTTATGATTTTTAGGTCTCAATATATCGGTTTAGGGAATCTTGCAAGAATGGCGCATTGTCTTTCTAACCATTGTGATCCTCTGTGTAACGACAGGGGCGTTCTTTCAGATCTCAGGCTCAGGTATTGACATTACTTATGCAAGGTGCTCACCGACTGAGTAGATTCATTCTAAAAACACCCTTTTTGCAGCCGACGTGCAAGTGTGGGACATTCCAGCTGCAGCTGATGAACCAAAGCAGGAATTAATAGAAGAAGTTCCGGAGAGGCGAGAGGGGGAGGAGGCGAAGATGAACGGAGACAATCATTCTCGGCCATAATCGGTCCACATAATGGTCGGATTTATCATCATGCAACGATCCCATTTACATTTCGAAACATATCACATAAGCGAAATAATCATTACTTACAACCCCAACGATGCAGCTTTATACAAGGAAAATGTGTTAATCTTTCTCGCTTTCTCCATACATATAAGATAGTATAAACTCATGCCGACTCGTCCTTAGACTGGTTGCTTGAGGAGAGCACTCACGCTCTCTTGGGAAGATCTGTACATCTCATGCTAATGTTTCAAGACATTTTAACTTTCAACGTGATTCTCTCATGTGACTCATTCAATAATTCGAATGATCTGCGTTGAATGAAGTGATCTCACGGGTTTATTCTAATTTTTCTATTTCCTAAGTCCTGGTTGTTATAAAGTCATTGTGAATACGTTTTTATGGAACGTGAAATGGGATGAGGGCAATTTAAGAACAAAATAGATTCTCCGCGATCTTATCGACAACGGCAACTTTGGAATTTTTATTAACTTCTGCTGAGAATCAGGAAACAAACAACACAAAAGTTTGGAATTGTACTCGTATTGTTATCTCACATACAACTGGAAATAAAAGGACAGACTAAAAGTATTGTAGACTTAAGTCTATGACCGGTAATAAAACAAATACAAAATAAGTCCTCTATCTAGCTCATCTAATTCCAACATATGTTCTATAAAGTGAACAAGAACAAGATTTGGAATCCTTAGGATACTTCATTAGTGGTAGTGGAAGAGCGATTCTTGCGTGGAAAACATTTACGAGCCAACATCTCAATTTCTTTCTTTTGTTCGGCGTTCCTGCAAATAAACTTGGGAGAGCCTGCTTTCATTCAGATGGCAGTAAAACCCCTTGATGACTGACATTTTATGAGAGCTATGAAGGTTGGGGGAGCAGTACACACTAACAAAAGATAGCAAAAGAATAACTCTCTAATCCCTTTATTTCTTTTATCAATTTGTTAGGTGATCTGAAGAAGTTTAAAAATTACAACTTATTCAGTGACGATTAACATTGTTTGTTCTGGCTACTTCGTAACAAAGTAGTCAAGGGAAAGCGATATTAGATGTATATATTGATGCAAAATCGCTGCTATCCACAAACATGTAATTTACGGGGCAAGAGAGTACCTCCACAAGCGCAGTCAAAAACAGAAAGGTTGAGGAATTGCAGAGGGCGTGCAGGAGTTCCTTAAGCCTCGCCGCTTTTCTCTGAGCTAGTTTAGGCGTCCTGGAAAAAACTGACACCTTCCAAACGTTAGGCTCTAGCCCAGCTCATTGCCCCCGACATGCCTTCTTGACACTGGACTGGCAAGCCCAGAGAATTGACATAGTAAACCTAGACACCGAGATAGATCATGTCTTTTTCAGTTTTTCCCAATTATTCCAAGCTGTAAGTCGTGAACACCCTCAGTATGACACAGAAGTTACTGCATTAAAATAGAGATGTAGCACACGTACAGAATAAATGAGAATGAGTGAATATGTCTCTATAAGGCTATCCCTCCTTTCATGACTACTCTATTCTGACTTGAATATGACATCATAAAAAAACATCACGTTCATTTGCTCTTTCTTTTCGTTGGTCTTGGATTTGCATGTCCATTCATTAGGCTTGCCCAGCCCAATGAAGACAAGCAGTAGATGGAGCATTGGGCGAAGCCATAGGATATGGTTTGGAAGGCCAGATCCCGCCAGGACGCTTAACTACTCGCTCCAAGGAAAAGCGACAACGCTTCAGGAGGAACTCCTGCATGCCGCCCT